TCCATCAAACTCCATGGTTAATGGGAAAAATAATATGTAAATAACTAAGAAGAGAGACAAACTGCTAAAACATTGAGAATTTCTGCTTTTATTGACATTATGAATATCTTATTGGAGGGTTATTAATAAAAAAATATAGATACACTTCAGTATTGAATTTGTTTTACTTCCGTCTTTTTCTTAAACGAAATCGATAATAATATCATTTCTATGTATGCCACATCCATAACCATTATAATTGTCATTAGCACGTCTTTATTACTACTTAGTAGGATGATCATAAGCACAGCAATGTAGCTAATTAATTGAATGAGGTTTTTGAACTGACCGTTATGGGCGTGGTAATATTGATTTTGATTGCACGTTGATAATTAACTTTGAGAGGTTAGCCCAAAGATAGCTATCTTATATAGGTAACCAAAAATCTATAGCTTTATTCTTCTTTGCTCTTGTTAATATCTATTAAATATTAGGTTATTAGGCATATGTGATTAGCAAAGTTGGTTTTCGTTTTCGTACTGTCTCTTCGTTACTACAATAGTCAGTTTTATTTGACAACTTACTGGTGGACATGTCAGGAATGTCGTATGGCATTATGCCCGCTCTAAGTAGAGTTGCAATAAATAAAAGTGGTGTAATACACAGTTCGGATCGGCTTCGCCCTGTTTCACTATCTGCTCTTGCTGCATCAGGGATAGGTGAGTGTGCGAGAGGACAGGGTGAGGTGACGGCGGAGTAAAGGGAGCCTGAGAGGTGCCATGTTCTAGGGGAGGGGAATTCCCTATGTGGGGGTTTTTACAAACACATTAATACAGTTACACATATCATACACTTACTCACAATAATTCAGTCACATCCCCTGCCCTGTCTAGGGGCATGTCTCAAATGTTTCTGAGACGAACCCCCAACCCGCACAGAGTCCCCCAAGGGGTGGGCCGAAATGGCAGCGTACGGCGTAATCTTCGGGCTGTCCCCTAGTATCGCCTCTATGGAGAGGGGAAGTCCGCAGGCGAGAGTCCCATGTAAAACACCGACCCTGCGCTAGGGGAGAGCAGATAAGACCAGTCCAGTAAAGATTTAGTTAACACTATCGAAGGCCTTTATAAAGTCAGTATATATCGCCACGCCCTATCATTAATGTAGTATCTACAAATATGCAACTTTATAGAGGAGCGGTTTAAAGATAAAAAGTAGAATACGACATTTTAAGGGTTACGATTACGAAATTCGTCATGGTTGTTTAACAAATATAATAGATTAATTTATTTAACTATATTTATACGTTACAATTTCACGTGAAGCTAATTTACGCGAACATATTTTACTATCTTACGCAGGATCTGGTAGATCCAACTTTGTTTGTTGTATAAAATTCTGCACTACATAAAGGACGTGGCTTATTTCTTATTTTTTATTAGATGAAATTTTGTGCAATAAATCGGATATGGTAGGTATGAAGTTTTTGGTCGCAAATTAGCTCAATGCGGATTGGCGGGTATTAACGACTACAAATGCAGCCAGGACCAACAGCTTAACGTGCCCTCCGAAGCACGGAGTAGCTCGAGATAATATTTTTTGATCACCCATCCTGTGACCGACGTTGCTTAATAACAACGATCGCGGGCCGCGGCTCTTATCCACTACGCTACCGAGCTACTCAATATATAATAATCAGAATTATTAAAAATTATTAATAAATAATTTACCTAGGTACAATGGTTTATTGTAGGTGCGCACCATAATTAAAAGTTAACGTTGGCAGCTGTACTAGTGTTAAACTGAGGTACAGCTGCCTGCATCTTTCAGTTACATTGATAAACTTAGAAATTTGGAGCTTAACATAATAATATTAGTCCAAAAGAAAAGGGATATGGACCAGCTTATCATCACAATCAGTTTCAGATTTGTGAGAAACAATTGTGCACGCAGAATTTCTTGTATTTGGTTGAAATTAAATTTTAGCAGCCATTTTTTAATGAAATCCTTGCATCTGCTGAGGGGCAGACCATAGATGTTAGTCACTCTATTAGCAGCATTATATAGAAATGAACTAATAACGTAAATTATCTTTGTGAATATAATAAAATCAACATTTATTTTTCTGTGACATTATTCCTTATACCCTTTTATGAGGTTTTATACAATAAAACAAAAATCGTTAAAATGTAGATCCCACATTAATGATAGGGTGTGGCGATATAACTTAAGCTTGTTTGTTTGAATAGATACTGATTAGTTCTATGCATATAACCAGCTTCATGTTAGTGGATCTACTTTTCGTGAAATAATGTCGGCTCATCTTCAAAAATCCGTCAAAATAGTTCTAGTTGAAGAAATACATCAAAAACCTTTGACATCGTCGACAAGATGAAGATTGGCCTATAGTTGTGAACACGTTGTTTGTCACCGGATTTATGGATCGGTATAACTTTGAAAGTCTTCCATGCAGTTGGAAATGCGCCCATTTGTAAAGAAAAATGAAGAACAGAGGCACAGAGAGTGCAGTTGGAAATGCGCCCGTTTGTAAAGAAAAATGAAGAACAGAGGCACAGAGAGTGCAGTTGGAAATGCGCCCGTTTGTAAAGAAAAATGAAGAACAGAGGCACAGAGAGTGCTTCGGCTCAACAAGTGATAAGTCTACGTGGAATCCCGTCTGACCCAGCGCCTTTCGTAGTATCAAGTTTTTCAACATCGAATATAACAAGAGCATATCACAAAGTCTATTTTATGACATAACGGTGAATTGATTTCTAAAACACATACACAGACGTTTAAAATTGATGACAGCTGTCATTTTGACAGCAGCTTTGACGACCAAAAGGCTGTCAGTGAGAACAGCTATTATTCGTGCCCGTTACGATTGGTAATGATCCAATTATATACCGAAGTAAATTTTAGAGTACACTCGTGATTGACAGACAAAATTATACACTTACTGTGACTGTGGTCGCTCAGTGATTTTTTACGCAATAATTGATTAGAGTTTCGAATGTCTTCATCTTGAACATAAATTTCGTTTCGGAATGCAAGAAAATGGATGGATTACTTTTATATGCATGGACAAAACATACACTTATTTAATATGAATTTTAGAATTTTTTTTCAAAAATAGAACCTACGCCTTTTAATCACTTCTTGAATATAAACTTTAAAAAACTGATAAATATCACGAAGGCAAATGTTATTGAAGAATTCAAGAAAATGTTATTGAAGTCGGACGGAGGTTTTCTGTGGGTTATTCGCCGTCAAAAATATAACCAACCTCCTTTTAGATTTTGAAATCGGTTAAAATTAGAAAAAAGCATTATAATAATAAATGGTAAGTACTTACATACTATTTCTGCAATACATTATAATATACTTATTTAGCATGGAGGTTCAATAAATTAAAATCTTTAATGTTTTAAAAGTAGGTTTCATTTGATTGAACCTGTGTGTTGTGACAGTGCTATGCTCCACGTCTAATCCTTGCTAGCTTATTAGCTAGCTTTCCGCCAGCGGCTTCGGTCGCGTGGTCCTATTAAACTTACTTTAAGGGGTTGAATTTATAAAATATGTAATTAAGTATTAAAAAAATCATTTACAAAATACAAGTAGTGTGCTGCACTCGGTTGCATTTCTCAGTCATAAAATTAATTTCGTGACATTTAACAAGAAGAGTTGTAACACAAGTTTATTATCGGAACTATTTTATAGGCAGTAAAATTTTATAGAGCGTTTCGTCACACTAACGGAATAATAATATAGATAAACGATTAATGTCTGACAAATGCTCAGCTATAAATTTAAGTGCGTTGACGTTAGGCAAGTGTAATTAGCGAAAGAATCATGGGAACATGCAGGTCACGCACTTGAGACACGTGGCATAACTGTGCAACCGGTTGTGCTAAAAGGACGATATGGAACAACTTTTCCAGCGGGGCCAAAGGGATATTTTCCTCGTGATGATACTTACTAGTTGTCCAATAAGGTACTTTCCTTTTGGCATAACCAAGCCCCGATTTTATTTGTTGTTGATACATTCTATGCTATAACTAAATAACAACAACAAGGTATAATGAAGGCGCGATGTTTCGTCTACTCATTACAAGATCATTAAAAGTCGGATTGTAAATTTAGCTGGCATTGATTTTTATTCCAAATTTAATCGTAATATTATCATTCTCATTAATAGACCAAAATCTATAAAACATAAAAAATATGCAAAATAAACAACTACCATTTATAACCAGTTAAGGAACATCTAGTTTTTGTTTTTTATCTAAATATTCGAAAAAAAGCTGTCAACATATTATTAGCGCACTTACCAAATGTCAAAGCTATGTTCTCAATCGATAGAACATGAACATCGTGACCTCGAAAACACTTTTTTGTAATTACCTGCACTCAGTCTGGCCTAGAACCGGTTTTTAAAATAACAGCTCTTCAATTCACTCGGCTTAGTCATCTAGTTTTTTAAGACTTCCTGGCGACTGCGAGCTACATAATTGCTAAAATTATCGTTCATGAAACATATTGCGATTTTACTGTTTGTTTACATATTTGTTGCGATAAAAACTTCATATTTAAAATCGTAGTTCTAGAGAACAATTATTATTTATATCAAATAAAATTTCAAATGGAAAATACAAACCTATCTTCATATTTGTTTAATTCATTGAATCGGTTTACAAAATAAATATTTATGTGTATAACTTGTGTTACAAGTTACTTTATATATCCAAAGAAACATCTATAAATATGATTAAACATAGAATTTAAAAAAAGCAAACATGCTTTAAAACCAGTCCAAGAGTTATTCTATTCAAAGAAACCTAAATTCTTGTTATTGAGAAACTACTTTTGTGACCTAACAGTGTAAATACGTCTAAACTAAAAATTTTGTGTATTTTTCTTAAACTTTTCCATGAAAAATAGATCGATAGAATAAAGAAATTAGACAAAAGCATCGACATACAGCCAACTATGTCGATTGTTTGTTTCAAAATTGGAATACATACCTGAGCGTTGCATGATGATTGCCAGCATGAATAATGCTAGGCAAAGTGATAACCTCCTTAGCTCCATAGTGCTGTGATTCCTCGATAAACACAAAAACACGAACACAGAAGTACACTTTGTTTTTTTTAACTATAAATTCGCTATTATCACTACTTTAGCACAGACACTGAAGGCACATCCCTTTTAGGCACTAGTGGTTCGAATATCTGAAAAAAATAAGTTTCGATTAAAGCGCTATAACCTTTATTTCCTTACGCAGTAACATTCTTTATTTATTCCATACGCATTTATAAAATAAATAGGTAACTATATGAAAAACTTCAAATGCGTTCCGTTTCGAGGAAAAGTGTAATTTCAAATATTCTATTATTTTAACAAGACTGGAAAGAAATATTATTATTCGTTTTATGCGTTTTATAATGTTTTAAGCAAACCCTTTAAATTTCATAACGTAAATACCGTTACATAATATGCGACTTTGGTCTGTGCATGAGCCATGACAAAATAAATTATAAGTGTGTGGAGGAATCCATCATTACAAAACTTAAAATTTAATGCCTGTATATATATCTACAGTCATAAACAAAAAAAAAGACTAATAGAATTCTAATCGAAAATAAGAAAATATACATCATACTCCTACATGATGACCATGGGTGAATTTCTTTATCTCGAAAATGAAAAAAATATACGATTTAATTAGCCAAGGCTTAACGTAGTTGAATAAAAAATATTCATAACGTTATATTTTCATATGTTACATATTAGGTATATGTTGCAAAGATATATGTTTAAGCTATCTCTTGTTAGATGAGGTCTGGCGCCTCGACAGTACAAAAAGATATATTTGACTTACTATATTTAGTTAATCTCAATTAATTTATTTTGAAGCATATGTTGGATCAATTCAAAACGAAGCGGAAAGTAAACTCACAATAAAAAATATGTTACAATATTCAAGATTCTTAGCAATTATTAAACATAATTGATGCAGAACCAGTTCTGTCTACTGTCAACGGGCATCTAACGACTCGTAAAATAGTTAACAACAATTGCTCCGAGCCATTGGTGCGGATAATATGCGACCTTGTGCAATTCTGCAATAGAACTATTATATGTACATTTGAAATCAGTTAGCGTATGTTATGAAATCGATCTCATAACTATTTGTAGTTATATGAGTACTCTCTTATTTTTTTGAAATTGATATACGGCTACCTTTCAGCCGCAAGAGAAAACTATTGTTTCTTCTGCTCGGTAAAAGTTTAGTTGGTACTGGCCGTTGATCTTTACATATTTATGTTCAGTTAAAAATGTCACATTTAAAATATTATCAATCTAAGTATTTTTTTTTATTTTATTATTAAGTGAATGTGTTTTTTTATTTCCTATACAAACAATTTAATTCCATTTCATATAAATTCCCTGTAGAGTTGCACACACACGGCTGCACGTCAGTTTACAAAATAGGTCAAAGTTCTCCAGTTCATTTTAAACTTTAAAGTTTAAAATAAAGTGGAGAAAGTCAGATTTTTATAACCTAACGTGCTGTTCTAATTCAAGTCTTAAGAAGAGTAGGTACTAAACTGAACGCGTATAGTTTATGTATATTTGCGAATATACTACAGACCAATGCCAAATTAATAAGAAAATTATAATAGTTTTTTAATTAAACATAGCTAGCTCTGTTTACTTCATTCCTTTTAGTTAGAGTGATAAAGACAAAGCTCTTTAGTATCTACATAACGCTTATACATTGCTTATTTGTAAGGCCGTAAGAATTTAGAACAATCTCTTATCGTTTTGTAGCGCAATATTACTTCATTAGCTAATTGATACATAGTATGATTTAATATTTATTATGTATCAAGTTTATAAATTTAATTATATTTTACAGAGAAATAGGGCTGTAGATTTATTTGTATTTTTATTTTATAGGTAGATATATCTAAAAATAAATTAAAATTTCAATATCTTCCGCGAAAATGCCACTTCTGTAATGTCGTCACGGCCCTCTGAAACTAATATCGTTTTATGTATGCTTAAGGTTGAATTCTCAAAGTTCTCATATAAGTAAGAGGGATATGAAGTCTCGCGCTGTTTGAGTAAATATTTATTTTTTTATAATTAATTTATGCAATATTATAAATATAATAAGTATAAAAGTGTGATTATCGGTAAAAGTTTAATACACTACCTGATTTTCGTTTACTGTCTACATTATTAATACGACTTAAGCGGCGGTCAACTGGTTTTTTAAATACTATGGAAATGAGCGCGCTTATTAATTTATTAATAATGTCGAAAACTAAGTTTTATAATTTCATGCTAAAGGTATTTGGCTTTTTGAGAAAATAAGCTTCTAAAGTGATATAGTTTAGTAGATATTCTTATTAATTATCTGTATAATTCCCTTAATGAATTATTGCCGATTATGTTATGTTCCTGACTAACAAAAATGCTCCGTCCCGCGTATCGATCAATTGTATTAAAACTAGTATAAATAATTATTTCTTCTCACTACCTATTACCTATCAGCGTATAACAGTTTGTGTTTTTTTACGATTTGTATATATGTTCCGGATGTTATTAACAAGAGCAAAGAGAAAGAAGCAAAATAAGTAGGTCAATCAACGACACAAACATGAGAGGTAAATGCAATTCAGTAGTGGTATTCTTTAAAAAAAAACAAGTGTTGAATGCAACGTCGGAGTTTTAATGAAATAAAATAATGAAATAAAACCTTTTTTACTTTTTCAAATAGGTTTCATTTGATTGAACCTCCATCGTTATCGAATTGGGGTTGTTTTTGTAGCTGCGCGGGAAATCGCCATTTTGGCTTAACCGCGTACCACACATTGCGGTCTTTTTGCAAGATGGCAATGGCAGAGACAATCCAGTAAGGCAGTCCAGTATTGTCCTTTTTTAAATGGAGATAATCATCAAAGCTAGTAAAGAAGCTCGTTAAATCAAAAAAAACTGTTTTGACTAGACTGGCTTATGGATTGAATTGCTTACTGGATTTTCTGTACCTGTGGTAAAATTGTAACTTGATTATTTATGGTAATCAGAATAAGAACGCATTGTATCTACGTACGTGACTATAAAGTTTGTAATATTGGCCTACTGGCATGTCGGGCTCTGCGATAGCGCTAAGGAAATAAGGTTTATGGTCTTACGTAATCATTAAAAGGACAGAGTAAATTTATATGGTACAATGTATTGTTAACATATAACTTGTTAATAACATTGGTCATTTCTTTTACATTGATCAATCGTCATCGTCACTAACCTATTAATGTCGAATCGAATAGGGAGATTGGGCCATGGCCCACCACGCCGGCCCAGTGCAGATTTGTGGGTATTAACCACTGCAGATGCAGCCGGAATCAATGGCTTAACGTGCCTTCCGAAACAAGAAGGAGCTCGCTATAGTAAAATTTTGGTCACCCATCCTAATACTAACCAATGTGAAAGTTAACAACCGTATCGCATACTGCACCATCGATCACCCGATTACTAAATGTAATCTACCTAATCTTCAAATCGAATCCCTTGCGGCATAAAAGAGTGCCATAAGTATGGTGTTCATAAACGTATTTCATTTCTCTAACACTTATATATGCAAAATACTGAAACATACGGGTTATGATATGACATTTCGTTTCGTAAAACATCCCTTATCGTTAAACATCCGTAAGCCAAACAATTATTACAAATTGAACAACATTCCCTTCTCTCTAATACCTGATCGTTCACTAAGCAACATCAAAGGATAGGAAGGAAGGCTGGACTAATAAATCGTCTATTTTTATACCATAAGTACGAGCTTCCTGTATCAACCAGGAGTGAAGACGTTCCCGGTAAAACGTTGCGCCTGAGTAGATGAACAGCAGTTTGTTGATATGTGGAACTGAAGATGTTTTGTTTATTTTATACACAATATTTTTTTTGTCAATATTAATAATCGGTAAACATCCAAAGGCTTAGGTCAACTATTTCTCTCCACTTAACTTTGATGTTTGTACCCTGTGGGTTAATTGGCTAAAGTCAAAATCTTTCCCAATCGCTTTAGGAGCGAATGATTTGAATAATGAATAAAACTTTCTTTTGAAATGTATCAAAAGCTTTCAAATATATTTGCGTCTAACGTTTGTTTCAGATTAACTGCAACGTTCATTCAATATTACGTTCGCAATTGCGCAAATGTCAAATAGTGGTCCAAATTGAGAAAATAATTTTGTAGGCTTTATAAATTCACGTTATAATCAATAGAAGTGGAGCAATGAAAAATGTTGCTAAAACTGGACAAACACGCGGGCGAAGCCGCTGAAGTAAAGCAACAACAACATAGGTACAACATACGATACAATTCCAATTCTATTTTAGCTGGAATTGTATCGTATGTCACTTAGTAGAATAGAAAAATCATTAAAAATTGTAGTTTCGTACGGTTTCGATCCGTTTTCAATTCGATTTAAACAAAATTTATTTAGTGGAATTGGCTCCCTGGTAAGACAATAAAATGCTTTAGTGCGACTTTTCAAAACGTATAAACGTCATCTTTTATCACTTTTTGCCGCTTAAAATAATCAACATAAAATATTTTATTCGCAAATTTATACACATCAAAATCTTTTACGATACCATATTATGAGCCATAACGGTCTTTTTGAATATAAATTTCACCACAACATGAAGTAAACTTTAATAAAAAGGGATTTTTAAAAACAGGCCAATGATAATAAGCATCTGAAAAAAGATTTGTACCTCCTTGATTAATTTAATACGTAGTTACGTCACAGTTTACGTTTTAATATCGTTCGACTTAAATATTAGAGAGAATCTTAATTATTAATCCTTCAAACGATTATTGTCATCATTAAGTGTTTAGACACTAATAATATGACGCCTTAGTTAAGTTAGATAAGATTTTTTTCACTTGTGCTAATCCTTAGTAATTATTTTCTTGCCAATTAGAATAAATGTTTTTCTTGTTTATGTATTATTACATTATCTCTTCGTCAGCAATAGACCGATATTATATAAAAAATGTATATTCTCGAAACAAATTTTATCGAAATCAGTCAGTAGTATCTACTGCAAGAACTATAAACATTTAAATAGTTTTTAATATCGTACCTTTTACTTTACTACCACAACGAACATTTGTCCGAACTATGTGCCGGTTTATTGCTACTTCAGG